CCCGTCTTGAGTTTCCTAGCCAGTCTCGAAGAAGTTACAGAACAGAGGTAATAATTATTGGTTAATAACACCTCCCACCTCACCTTTGGCCAATTTAAACACCAATTTATATAAAAGAGTTAATAAAAATGTTCCTATCTCCTGCGTACCGCCTAGCACAGGAATAATTTTTACATAATTTGTCACAATTTATCGGTTCCAAAGATACCTTTAAAGACTAAGACAACTGTCTTCTTCAATTACCCAAAACAGCTGAAGACAGGGGTGTATTTATCGCAAGGCTGACAAGGCATTTGCCTTGGGAAGCACGTTCTGGGGGGGCGGCAAAAAAAGCCGTCCCCCAATTGCCCTGGCAAATGCCTTGCCAGCCCCTTGTCCTAGGGGGCCCAGTAGCTGGCCGCCTGGCCACCTCAGGGCCCCCCCGAGGCTGGCAGCGGCGGCACTTTCCGGGAGGACGGCGAGGGAGCACTGATCCTCCTGTTCAGCTCCCTCACGCGCACCGCAGTGATGCCAGAACCGGAATATGACATCACTCCGGCCCCGTCATCACTACGCTGCGCACGAGGGAGCTGAACAGGAGGAACAGTGCTCCCTCAACGACTGCAGTGACCGGCCAGCCGCCCAGCAGCCCCACTGGACCCCAGGTAAAGTGAGAATCCACCCCAGCACACCCAAAGGTGCGGAGGCTTGGGGGACTGAATATTTTTTTAAAATGTGAGTGTTTTCTCTGTGTGTGTGTGTGTGTCTGTTAGTGAGTGTGTTTGTGTCTGTTAGTGTGTGTCTGTTAGGGAGTGTGTTACTATGTGTGTGTCTGTTAGTGTGTGTGTGTGTGTGTTTGTTAGTGAATGTGTTAGTGTGTGTGTGTCTGTTAGAGAGTGTTAGTGTGTGTGTGTGTCTGTTAATGAGTGTGTTACTATGTGTGTGTCTGTTAGTGTGCTTGTGTGTCTGTTAGCGAGTGCTAGTATGTGTGTGTCTGTTAGTGAGTGTGTTAGTGTGATTGTGTCTGTTAGTGAGTGTGTTAGTATGTGTGTCTGTTAGTGAGTGAGTGTGTATGCATGTCTGTTACTGAGAGTGTATGCGTGTCTGTTAGAGATTGGATTTAACAAGATTAACCCCACGTGTGCCTGTTCTGTTGGAAGGTTTAAAATCTCTGGGTTACCTGTTTGACAACCATCTGGTTCTAATATCTCCCAGTAATTTAAAGACTTGACGTGTACTGCCCTCTTTGGTTTAACTTCACTACAAACACACGTGTGTCCTTTTAATTTAATGTTGTCTTGGATTATTTGTGTACTGAACTCTGGATAGTCTCTTCATTGTGGACTTTCTTCAACATTCTCAAATTGTTGCTTTGTGAGTCCTTTTGGCTGCTTAGTATTGGACTGGATGAGGCTTGGTATTGGACTGGACATTGGATGAGTCTATTCTTAAATAACTGTGGCCTGGTAAAAAAATTAATTTAAAAAATCATACCTTGGATTACAAAAGAGTCCTCCGATCTTATCACACCTCAAATCGGAATTCGCTGTAGCAGTATAAATTTCTATATATTTTATATTGGCCAATCCCGAGTAAAAATGATGGAAACTAGGAATGGAAACAGAGAAGATTACCGGTAACTACTGAACCAGCTTCCTGAATACCATTTGTACTCCTAAAGAAATCTGGGGAGTAAGTGAACACTATTTAGCGCTACACACCCTCACTACTACACACTGGTTGTGGAAATAGTGTGATTTTTGCATTTGACTATAGTAGAATTGGAGAGGTCCTACTTTTTGTGTGAGAGCAGCTGCATTAAGAGCAAGTGTTAAATCCTGTTTTAAGCGCCTGTTAATACAGAATACTTTGTTATGTTAGTGAGTGTGTGTCTGTTAGTGACTGTATGTGTCTGTTAGTGAGTGTGTGTGTCTGTTAGTGAGAGTGTGTGTGTCTGTTAGTGAGTGTGTATGTTGTCTGTTAGCTAGTGTATGTGTGTTTGTCAGTGAATGTCTGTGTCTGACACTGAGTGTATATGTGTCTGTCAGTGAGTGTGTATGTGTATTTAGAAGGCGGGATGGGAGGAGGGATGCCTGAGTTTTGTCATGCCTAGGGCAGCACAAAACCAGGATACACCACTCACTGAAGGAACGCCAGTGATGTTGGACTTCTTTTGAAGGAAATACCCTCAACATTCTTTATAGGTTTAACAGAAGGCCTGAATATCCACATCTATATTATTATTATTGTTTTTTCGTTATGACTTCTAGCACAGAAATTGTATTTTATTGTATCCATTATACGCATCACATTTATTAACCACATTTCTACAGTTCAACCATGATTCATGTTGGCTGGGCATGACAGTCAGTATGTCATTCTGAGCATTTTGACACCAATCACTTGATAAATTTTCCTGATTTACTAGTGTTTAGTGCCACGGTGAAAGCGAAAACTGGCTTCAGGTAAGAAAAAAAGCTAACACGTGTTTTATCCCCAACACTTATATCACCCATGTAACTGAACAGTTATAGCTTGAGTGACCCATAAATACCTGCAAGAAAAAATTAATAGTTATAGCTTGAGTGACCCATAAATACCTGCAAGAAAAAATTATTACTAGATTTGTACATTTAACAGAGAGCACTAGCTGTGCTTCACCTGCTATTTATTTTCCCATACGTGTACAAATGGTATACTTGTGAATAGCAACACCTGGATATATATATTCTTTCATTAAATACTGTCTGAGCCATTCCACTACTGTTTATATTCGGACTCATCGGTGTTACAGGCTGCATTAATGTGGATTGCCTTAGCCAGATGTTGATGCCATATGACTATATCTTCACTATTGGAAGTGAGAGACTTGACTGAGAACAAAAAAAATTAATCATTTGGAGGAAATACCAGAGGTCCCATTGATATAATATGATCCATTTGTTCAATGATACACGTATCATCTACTACTAATCCCCTATAACTGAAATAACTCTTTTATTTTTTTAATAACCCGCACATTCTTTTTAACATCATTTAAATCTCCTTGAAATTTTTTAACTTATTTTGAAAAAGTTTTTTTTTTAAATAGTACATTTGCAATTAATTCATATTAAACAGTGTTTCTTATGCTACAAACCCAGCAGTGCAGGTGGACTACAGATGAATAACAGCTTTGAAGTTCATAAAATATCGGTAAAAATGCATATATTTGGTCTCCTGCATTTTATTACTGACCGGGGATACAAAGCCAAAGAAGAACACATCCCCGACAAGACCTGTCATATGTGTCACTCCAGATATAATTTGGCATGTCCCATTTACTGTGCCAAATTTATTCATCCCGATTTATCTACTTCTGGTGAGTGCAGTGCCAATTCCACCTCTACATGGGCACTGTACATGCACAGTTGCTAATAGAGCTACAGTACAGTCGTGTATGTCTGCAAAACAAATTCATAAAGTTGGCCAGAAAGCAGAGGAAGGCTGACACAGTTTCCTGCAACTCCAATGCCACCAATGACAACAAGCAGTGTTTTGACTGTCATAAGCACTGCCTTATCTAATCCTACGGTCATTTAAAAAAAAAAAAAAACTTTATTTACCGGTAAGCAGAGAGCAGGTCACACACACAAATAAAAATTGTACAGCAAAGATCAAATACATGCTCCATCTAGTCGAATTTTATACATTCAAACCAACCATAGAAAAGAGAAAGATACAGAGAATGAGAGAAGAGAAATATAAGAGGAGGAGGAAGGGAGAGGAAAAAGAACAGAGCCCAGGAAATACACATGGCCGTAGAGAAATGGGGCTTGATACAACTCAGTGATCATTATTTTATCCAGCCAAGGGTCCCAAGTCCTCCGATAGGAAAGGATTGAGCCACGAAGTACAGCAGTGCAGTAGTCCATCCAATTTGCTTCTCTAATTTACAAAGGACCAGGCACCAAAGTGGAGTATTGATGTTTCTCCAGCTCACCGGCTAAAGGACTACATGCCACCAGCACAGTTTTGGTATCAAGAAGTAATCGTGATATGTGAATAAATCTACTGGTCTAGAGTGGAGGAAAACACAGGGAGAAGGATCCACCTGTATGGGAAGTATGTTTGATAAGATGAAACGTATCTTATGCCAAAACGTAATCACCTTCACATACAAAGGAAAGGAGCCTCTATATTCACAACCCCGCCAGCAATCATCTGACTTACCCAATCTCATACAAGCCTCGGATAGGAAAGGATATCCCATCTTATACAATTCTTCTTGATGTGTGGCAAAGATAGACAAATTGGCCGTCAATCCTGCTGTCACTTTTTAAAATAATTCTTTATTTAGAGTTATTTCATACAATAAAAATAACAGTAGCAGAGGAATAGTAAATAGTAATGAATAGTACCCAGGGTTGCATTGTAAGTCACAGGAAGTTTCTGTGGTCACATTTAAGCATACATCCCACCTTGCCAGTTTTAATATGCCAACAAGGACATCATTGCCACTATTGGCTTTATCCCGATCTAAATGAAACTATTCATTTCCCTTACTGGTCTATTTAAATCATGTTTGTGATATCCCAGTTCAAACATTTGGAAGATTTCTGCATTTTTCCATCATTTAGTTCTTTATTTTCCTGTGATTTTTTTTTTCTTATACTCTGTTATAGTGTAGTTACATAGGCAACCAGAATATGTCTTTCTAATATAATACATCCTCTCTTTAAATATAGATTGGCAGAAATAATTTTTTTTTAAAGTATTTTGTTTAAAGGACCACTATAGCTGTCAATGAGACAGTCACTAGAGGCTGGATTAACCCATTTGTAAACATAGCAGTTTCTTTGAACCTGCTATGTTTACAGCAGAAAGGGTTAATCCTAGAAGGACATGGCACCCAGACCACTTCATTAAGCTAAAGTGGTCTGGGTGCCTATAGTGGTCCTTTAATTCCCACAAGAAAATTACACTCCAAGCCACATGCATCATACAGTTTATAGTAGTGTTTATGAGTGCAGTCCCCATAATTTTTGTCAAACCATTTTTATCTCTACCCTATCTGCTTGCAAAACAATGAACTATGGGTTAGACCAGCTCTTTAAGCCCACCATTGTCTCATAAAGTTGTAAGGATTAACGTGAAAATTCACTTTGTGTGTAATTTTTATGAGTCATCTCTCATGAAGGAGTGAAAGGAACACTCCAAGCACCATAACCACTAAATAACACTGTAGTCATTACATTGCAAGGAGTGTCCTGGACCCGCCTCCCCCTCACCCCCCATTGTAAGTAGTCAAACTGTTTTAGAACAGTTTCACTTCTTATCTGGGGTCCGCCAAGCTTAGCTCAGTCAGAGAGTTTACAGCTCTCTGTCAGAAGTAGTGGAGGCGGGGAGTGATGCACGTTGGAACCCTGGTAAAATATATCACTTTTTACTTATATACAATGGAGGCCGCCAGGGAACTCTTGCCATCATAAGCACTACGGCATTCTGTAGTGGTTATAGTGCTTCTAGGATGGGATTCTTTAAAAGTACCAATATTACCTTCCTTGTAAAATTAATGTGATTCACTTCAAAAAGATATGTTCCTTTTATTGCTTAACAGAAAGCTTGTTCTGGGAACACCCCTGAGTCACACACGTTAAAAGGTTTGTCTGGTACCATGAGTTAAATGACATATTGTTGGACTGCCAACACAAGCAACGATAGATAAAACAAAGAATAATATACATGTAAGGTAAAACAAAACAATAACAAACTGGACGTGCTAAATTTTTTATTTTTAATTGAGTGTTTGAAGGCCTTGAACTCTGGGTACATGAAGTGGTTTAGGATTTTGTTTATACGAAGGATCCTCACATTTGAATGCCTCCTCCTCCCTTTATCTAAACACAAACTTAGACCTGACACTAGCAAATCTCTAACCACATCCTCAATATAGAATCTATTTAAAACATTTTAAACATTGCTACTCAAGGAGCTTAATTATTTTGGCTATCGTAAGCAAAAATTTGCATCTGTGCCAAAGTTCTAAGAAATTCATAGTTATTATCTGATATCTATGCTGGCTTCTGCATAGAACATTACATCCCACAGAGAGGTTTAGTAAAAACAAAAAAAATACACGATTAGCTGCACTTTTTTATGTAAGATAGATAGATTAATTGCAGCTCCAGCTAACAGGTTACTAGAGATAGACTGTCATAGATTTACTGACATGTAGAGTGAGAATCATGCTTATAAACAATTGTTGTGTACGGTGCAAGGCAAGAGAAACGGAACATAACATAAAGTAAAACATATCAATGGCAATCTTGCACAGCAGTTCTTCCTAGGATAAGAATCATAGGTCAACCTACACCCTGCACATTCAGGACACCACCCTGGCACTCAGAGTGACCCATGTCCCACTTGTCTGCATCCCACCAGCCCCAGGCCTCAACACAGCCCAGAACACCAAGCGTACGAGTCCCAGCAAGGGTTCTGACTAGGATTTGGTCTCTATGGTCTCCACCAGGTTGCTTGTGCACAGTAGTAGTAGTGGCCTTCCGGGGGAGTGAGTGGCGTGTAGGGGACTGTCCCTGCCCGGGCTGCAGTCCAGTAAGATGATGGTCCTTTGCAGGACTGAGCCTCCAACCCTGAAGCGCTTTCTGAATCGCCTGTCTCTGTTTCCTGACCTTCAGTGCAGTGCAGTGTCAGAGTATGTGCGATGCCGAGCGGTCTGATGCAAAGAAGATACCAGCGGGACTTCAGGAGGAGTACTGTGGCAATGGGTAAGTGTATTGCAGAAGTCGGAAAGCAGTTTATCCAGTTTTGACATGAAATCGAGGCACGGGTCCTGACGTGCTGCTTTGCACGTGGCATACGCCATCTTATCCACTGAAAGCTGGGTGCTATGGATGGAAGATTGCTGTACCAGGATATCCCTCACCAGCAGGGGGGGGGGGATGAGAATGAAGGCAAGACCTCGAAGGTAGTTTCTAGCAGCAAACTGAGGTATCGTCCACCTCCCCCACGTTCACTGTAAGTAGGCCTACTTGTAGGCCGCAGGTCTACCTCCTGTGTAAGCCGCCGATCTCGGTCGGGAAGACAGCAAAATCAGCTGTGGAGAACCCCTCCTGTCTCCGGGGTAATTCCTCTGATTGAATTCTAAGCTGTAAGTGGCAAATATAGCTACGGTATTTTTAAGCTTTGCAGTATGGAGCTCACAAGATGAGCAACCGGTCACCGCAGCTGTCAGGTTCTGCCCCCTCTTTCCTCCTGTCTCTTACGGAAGCTCTTGTTGTCAGTATTCTCTAAGATACAGAAGTAGTTTCAATAGTAAAATGCATCAAAGGCAAGCCAATATATTTTACATATTTCATTTTGTATCTTATGAATTTATATTAAAGCTAGCTGATTCTTTAGTTTCACAACTGCCTGCATTAAATTTAATTTATAACAATTGTATTTTAGAAGACTTCAAGACCTTCCTCAGGACTATTCTCAGATTTTGCAGATGACAATACAGAATTCCAACTGCATTAGCAATTCTCATACTTACTAAAAGCAAATGCTTTTAGAATTAGGTCTCCCCAAGCCAACCTGCACCAGTCGCACGGATGAATTCGGTGTCTGGCTTTAAACTGGTGCTTTTGCTTACAAATCCATTAAAAAGGATTGGATTCGGCTTTAATTAAATTCAGAAACGAATGCATCTGCTAGGATGCACATTCACAAATTATTATTCACTTGTTTTCACACAAATTTGAAGAACTATTTGACCACTGTCAGAGCTAGGGAAATAGTTTTTAAAAATAGCAGGCAAATAGTTAAAAAGCCCTTGGCAACGTATGGTGGCTGGACTGTGCTTGCTAGTCAGCCACCACAATTAAAAAGTAGAATAAAAAAATGTAAGGACTAAAAATCTAATGGGAGTCAATAACACCCCCATATTACTGTTAGGGAGAAGAATCACGTATCTCAAGACCTGCCTGTTAGAGCACTCTGATTGGTTAACTTACTAGCCATTGGATTGGGGGGTGGCTAGGGGATTGGGAATATGGACAATAGAATGTCCATTCCCCTAGTTTAATTGATTAGACTCCCCACCTGCCACCCGATGGATAAGAGACACTAGATTCTTCCTCCTAAATTTTATAATTAGGGTCCCCACTTGCAACCAATGGGTAGGTCCAGGGCAGGACATTAAATCCTCCACCCTTTATTAGGGCCTCCACCTGCTGCCAATGGGTGGGGACATGAGGATACTTAATACTTTTAATACTAGCGCCCCCACCTACTGGCAATAGGTTGGAGCTGGAGCGGTCAGTGGCAAAACTAACTTTGAGAGGGACCTGTTGCAAGAATTTGTTTGCCCCCCCCCCCATTTCATGGGTGGCCAAAAGGTAGATCCCCATCTGTTGTACCCATAAGCTGGGTATCTACCATTTGCCCGTCCTTGCTGGGTTGTATTCAGCACTGAGTGTTTGTGTGTTGGAATGTTAGCATGTTTTTGTATGGAGTATGTGTGAGTGAATGTAGGGGTGTGTTTGTAAGTACTGTTGGCATTTGAATGCAGGTTTGCATTTGTGTGTAATCTTGGTTTTTGAATGAAGGGGTGTGTTTATATATAATGTTGGTGTTTTAATACATGAGGTGTGTTTGTATGTAGTGTTGATGTTTAAATTCAAGGAAGCATTTGTGTGCTGTATTGGAATGTGAATGCTGTGATGCATGCAAATATACACGTACACTGCCACACACACCAATACACATGCAAATAAGCAGAAATACAGATAAAAACACTGACACACATAGTGATGCACATGCACGACACGAAGAAATAAACATTGACACATGCAGGTACACAAACAGACAGATATAGATACTGACACATATACAGATACACAAATACTGACACACATAAAGGTACAAAGATACACACGCTGTCACACATACAAATACATAGACACACAAATACAGATATACAGAGATACAGATACACACTGACACGTATACAGACAAACAAAAACACAGACACACACACTGACACAGATGCACACACTGACACACAGAAACACACACTAACACACATACAGATTCATAGACACAGAATGACACACATACATACACACAATGACACACATATGGGTCATAATTTTAGCTGCCCTCTAGTTTACTACCTTTTGGGTGCAGGAGGCTTCTGCTGGTTGAGGCTGTTGGGAGTCAGAGGCTGGCTGTAGATGTTGGTGCCTCACCCCCCATTACCTCCACGCCTTCTCCTTCTGTCTTCCCTCCCAAGCGGCTCAGTGTCTGTGTTATCTGGGAGGAGGTGACTGTCTCTCACTTCCTCCCAGCATTGCTGCCAGAATGAGAGGGTCCTGGTCATGCTGCACTGCAGCACACGGCCGGGCCTTTGATGACACATACCCATTGGGTGGCCCTAAGTGCATGGGCCAACTAATGTACCCTCTGAGTGTGCTGGCCCTGCCGCTGGTCACTAGATCCTACCCGCTAAATATTATAATAGCCCCAACCCGGAATCAGCATTGTCCCCCTTCTTTTTATTTTGTCAATTATGCTCAAGAAACGAGGTATGGGGGGAGGTTTATGTGCCTACCAGTTATCTCAATGGCATCAATGGCTGTCCAGTCTCTAGTTTTACATGTTTAGGAGATATGCCCACACCTGCATATGGAGGTTTAAAACCTCTATTATAGTAAGTAATATAGGGGTCTTATTGACCCCCACAGGATTTTATTTATTACATTTTTTAACGTGGCGACTGTATAGCAAGCGCTGGAGAGCCGCCACATAATTAACCCTTGCACCCCTGAGGGTTTTTAAAAGTATTGTCCACTAGACGTTAACGCAAGTCAGGCAAATAGTTCAGATTTTTTAAAATCTGGGTGCAGATTTGAAGCATTCGGTCCAGATTACAGCCATCTGGCGGCGTTCAGTCCATATTCAAAAGCCAGACAATTTTGAATAGCATTAACAATGTTGGATTGAAAGAACATTTTGCTAAAGTGCTTTAAGTGCATAGATTGTGTCCTATTTGCTTCATTTCATAAAAGTGATGATTTCAGTAGAAATCTAAACCTTTATTTAAAAAAATGCTAAAGCACCTCTCTGTTTGTCTGATTGACAGGAGATGTCGCTTCCTGAGAGTTCAGCTCTGTGGAGCTAAATTCAAAGGCTGGCACTCGCACTGTATACTTGCCTATGTAAGACAACTCATTGAAAAACCTGTGATTGGAAAGCCATAGGCGTGCATGTTTATTCCCTGGAACAGACAAGAAAGTCTATGCCGGGAAAGAGTGGGGTTGACTCGCAGTAGCTTCAGATACTAAATCTGCAGTTACCGCAAATCAACATTTCATATAATGCGAAAGAAAACATGGAAAAAGAATTACATGCATGTTTTATTTAGCGGCATTTCTATCTATTGCTTTACCTACCTTTTTAAGGGAGTGTTCCTTCGAAACCGACATAACAGACTCAATTCTTACATCAATTCACCTTAAAGAACTTCCAGGGATAACTATGGATTATGGGAAATCTATCCAGATATATGGAGGGACTTCGTGGATCTTCGTCCATAATCACTCTTGTCCATATTGAGGACAAATGTTAATTGGAATGTAGAGAGAGAGACACCAATCAATAACTCCACATCGACAACAAGGTTATTAAAGGTCGACTCCTATTTTTGTTATTCAAACCACATTGTAGGGCAGACATCAACACATCATTGTGGCATAAAGGTTTATATACGAAGCCATAAAAAATCTCCATTATTCTTCTCAAAAATATGTTGTCCTTTTAAGAGCTGAAACAAGCCAGTTTTCGTCAACAGTGTTTAACCTATTTGAACTGTGTGAAATGCCTTAGGGATAAAAGTACATCTGTTGTTTCTAATTGCAGTAGTTTTAAATAAATAATATTAATAATAATAAGCCAGTTTCTGGGTGGTGTATTTAAAACTATCTTCTAATCACTATATATAGTAAATCAATCTGTAATTACATCTTAAAGACACTGTATTTCTATTTTAGTGTGTAGATAATTTCGAAAGCAATTTCAACATAAAGGGATAGTATAGGCTGGAATTAGCCCCAAATTGTTGAAGGGACACTATAGTCACCAGAGCAACAATAGCTTAATGTAATTTTTATGGTGTCTATAGCCCAGGGGTAGGCAACTTTCGGCACTCCAGATGTTTTGGAATCCATGTCCCATAATGCTCTTACAGCCATCAAGGGAGTTGTAGTCCACAACAACTGGAGTGCCGAAGGATGCCTATCCCTGCTATAGCTTGTCCCTGCAGGCATTTTAATGTAAACACTGCATTTTCAGAGAAAAATCAGTGTTTACCTTGCTGCCTAGGGACACCAAAAGTGGCAGTTACTCAATCAGACATTAGAGGGACTTCCTGGGTGCAGCACTGACGTTCAACATCTAAACACTCTGCTTGAAGGCACTGAACTTTCCTCACAGAGATGCATTGAGTTTCCAATGCGAAAGCATTGGATTGGCTGAGATCATCAAGTTTGATAATCTCAGCCAAGAGGGCGGAGCATGGGTGAAGCCAGCTGTGAGTAGATCACCTTTTAACCAGAGGTAAGGGTGTGGCTAAATAGATATTTAGACCTATTGTGTCAGGAATGCACATTTGTATTCCTGAAACTAAAGTGTTCCTTTAATGAATTGCATAGAGGATGCTTTAAAAACAAAAAGATACCTTTAAAATTAATTCCAAGAAGAGGCTACACAGTGAGGAATATCTTATTCTGGTCTAGGGTTTATTTTGTTATTCAATAAATCTCTGTCCCTTAGGGGTTTATGGGATATGTATTTTTTTTTCCATGCAGAGTTTCACTCATCATAGCTGGTGAACAGAACTGCTCAATAAACGGATCTCCATACTACAACTGCTATTGGTCAATTATCAACCCGCTATCCAGTTATGTACTCTCTGCGCCATTCAAAGTTGAATGATGCAATTATTGTGTAATAATATTAGATGCTCAGAGACAGTTACTGATACTCACCTGCAAAACCATCCCTCATTCAGTGGGACAGTCCCAAATTATGGGTCTCTGGTGTCCCACTTCTAGTGCAGTGCAAGTGCGTCATTAGATATGCCCACAATGTACAAATTACACTCTGGGCTTTTAGCTCATGAAAGAGCACTTAAACAACACTCCATGCCTTGGCAGCCCTGAGTGGGGTTCTCCAGCACTACTGTCAATTAAACTAGTGAGTTTACACCTAGTTTGAGCACTGCGTGTATAACTGTGTGTGACAAAAGGCTAATGTCAAGTTGTTAGCCCAGATTCCTCCGATATCACAGCATCTTACTGTACATTGTACAAATATATATATTTATTTTATTTTTACAAATATTTAGTCTCCACCTGGGTGGACGGGCTGTGGGTGCCACAGATTCTCCTTTTTTTGTCAAACCACTTGAAAATGTATTATCATCATAACCGCTATAATAATGTAAAGTGGTTATGTTGTTTGAAATATCATTTTCTTTTTTTTATTATTCTTTATTTTGAAGGTGCATGAAGAAATATCACGGAAGAGATGTATCATATCAGAGTACAAGGGTAGTCGAGTCACATAACTTCTCAAGTTAAACTGAACTCATTTTTACTTTTTTAATCATGTCACGTTTCAAGTACCGGTATCAGTGCAAGAGCTTACTCCTAGGCTTATGGCCCCATTTGGAGTTTAGACAACACAGTATTGTACCCAATGAGGTTGAGACTCAATGTTTAACCCCTTAAGGACACATGACATGTGTGACATGCCATTATTCCCTTTTATTCCAGAAGTTTGGTCCTTAAGTTGTTAAACAGTTGTAGCATAATAAATCAAAGTAAAATAAAATAGAAGGTAATAACAGGAGATAAACAAGTTAAAACTTTACTGTTGCATCAGTTAGCCGCCTCAGTGGACACGCACCACCCTAGGGTGCATGGGGCGTGCAAAGGCCGCATTTGGTTGTCCAGTATGGGCAATCAGAGCCTTATGGGCGGCCTTGTGCACCTTTGAAACTTTTAGCCGCCATGGGCTGTTGCACTAGGTAAAACCTATCATAAGTAACTGGGATTAATAGCACAGGTAAGTTTGTACTAGGCATATCATATCCGGCTTTGTACTAGTCAGTCGACTTATATAGTCTTAAAGAGAAAGCAGAGTGCTAAAAACTAGGATTGTAGATATCCGTAACCAAGGGGGCGGCGGGGGGGAGTTGGGGGTTCCTCCATACTAACGTGGCTCTGTGTAACTATCATTAGGTCCGGTCATGGCACTTGCCAAGACCGGGTGAAGTAGGGCTGTAGGCATACTGACATAATGAGAAACAAAAATGAGAAAGTCATTACAAAACAGTATACTGATGAGGTTGTATCCGGCCTGACCAGCGTGGATGATCCTGTGTGCGGTTTCAGTGAGGGATCCGAGTCGGTGCTCAAGGTTTGAGGTGTAAATGCTATTGTAGTAGCTGGATCTCCAATCTGGGATGGGCCTTTCGTGACCCTGGTCATGGGCAGTCCCAAGAGAGTAAGGATTGTGGGTATACCTGCCTCCGACATGGCTCTGTGGGTAGTCCCATTATGAGTGATCGTTAGGACCCTTGGCGTTCCCCATCGCCTGTTCTCAGGCGGCCGATAAGGTGGTGCAATGATCTCCGCCAGTGCAGCGTGGCCCTTGTTAAGTCCTGAAAGAAGAGCAGTTGGGAACTTTCAAATGTCAGGGGGGTCTTGCCTCTCACCGCCGTCCTTATGGTTGTTTTGTCTTGCGATGTGGCACAGCGCAGAATAACATCTCGAGCTTCTTTGGAAGGTGAGTTGAGCCCTGCCGGTAAGCGATATATGCCCTCCAGAGTTATTTTCTAGGCAGCTGAAGGAGGCAGGATGGTGGCCATAAGAAAGTGTGGCAGTTCAGCTGGGGTGATCGCTGCTGGTACCCCTCTGAGTTTAATGTGGTTGTGGCGCGTGCGATCCTCTCGGGTGGTGTACTGCTAGCGTCTGGTGGGCTGTTTGCAATGTCTGCAGTGTATCTGTAAGGTTCGATACTCCGCTGTTTAGATTTAGAATGTCCTCCTCCATGGCGCTCACTCACTCAGTAGTTTGTCGAGCATCTGCCTTCAGGTTGCCGATATCCACGGCAAACAAATTCTGGAGTTCCTGCATCCATTGTTGGAGGTCATGCTTTGTGGCAAAGGCATTAACCCCTGATTCTCTAAGGGCTGGGAGCATGGTGCTTTGATCATCCTCTGCCCGTGGTGCCGGTGAGTGGGCTTGTAGTGTCGGTTGCACCAGAGCGAGTAAGGCCTCTGTGGTGGCCATCTTGGATGGTGCTTGTCGCTGTAACAGCACTCCAATATCTGGCTGGTCAGCAGCTGGGGCCGGCTGCAGCTTCTGTGTGCGGCACCTCATTGTTGCGAAAGGTGTCGCTAAGTGTCATGGTGTCGTCTTCCTCAGTATCTAGGTCGTCATACACCCTGGTACCTCCGGAGAGTCTCCCGGCTGTGGATGGCCAGTGGGAGGTAGGCCCTGCTTTCGTGTTTAACCATCCCGGACTTTGGGGATTGAAAGAAAGGCATCACTCTGCTGCTCCCGGCTTCCCAGGTCGCTGTTTGGTCTTAGTCTGGCCAGATGGTGGATGATGCACGAGATATTAGCAGATTTTGTGTATCGAGGTTGGGAGCCAACATAGATGGTATCTGTTCAGCTTCGGTCCCAAGACCCGCCTCCTTGAAATATCATTTTATTAACAGCTGTAGATATTTATTAGCAAAACCTAGCATAGGCCAGGACAGCAACATTGTAAAATGGATGGTTTGTGTCCTGTTTAAGGAAACTGGCTGGGCAGGATACATGCTTCTCCCAAGCACCCTGCAGAGAGGATGTAATAAGTTTCCATTCCTTATATCAAAGCGCAAAGGAGAAATACAAAAACTGAGAATATGGAATTAAGTTATATTAGTCATTGCTTTGTATGTATTTTATATAAATTGTCATAGTTCACTTAATGTTAGGACTCTGCAGGCCCTTTAAGAATGTAGCTAAAAAAAACATGCCACAAAAAATTACTTGTTCTGCTTGGAAAAGGAAACCTGTCATAAGCCTGCATTTCAGTCTGAGCAAAGAAGGAAATTGCTTTCATATGTGGCCTTTCTTGGAATGCAGTACTATGCCACCAGCTGGCTCATTGTAGTATTACAAGAAGAACATTTTCCCGGCTAGTGGGGTTAATTCCTAATACTGACAAGTGCAGAGAATTGACAATGTACATGCATATTTTAGATCATAAGATGAGCTGAGCTACAATAAGAGCTAAGTTGGAGATTTACAATTCCTGGTTTAGGGCTCATTTTCAAGTGTTGTCCCCAATATTTACAGACAGCCGCTAATCATTTAGATGGATTGTTAAAGGAACACTCCAAGGCTACTGCTCACTGTAGTGGCTATAATGCCAGGAGTGTCTAAGCAATCCTGGGGTTATATTTGGTTCCGTCAGCTAAGGTTTTGAACTTAGGATTTCTCTCTGACTCATTCCCCATTAATAATGTTCACACAACCTTTTTCTGATTTGTCCTCCAAATTAAAAAATAATACTCACAGTAATGTGTCTTTAAACTACAATAAAGGTGTTTAGATTTTTTAGATATCAGTCTCTGTAAATACATTGTTCTTGTTATAAATTACATTTTAGTTGCAACAATTTTTGTAAGTAAATCATCTCGTATTTTTCAGACAACTATTTTTCAGAAAACTGTCTGCCTGTGTGTGCCTATGTGACTGTCTGCCTGTGTGTGTGTGTGTGTGTGTATGACTGTCTGCCTGTGTGTGTGTGTATGACTGTCTGTGTGTGTGTGTGTGTGTGTGTGTGTGTGTGTGCGTCTGTCTGCCTGTGTGTGTGTGGCTGTCTGCCTGTGTGTTTGTGTGTGACTGCCTGCCTGCCTGTGTGTGTGTGACTGCCTATGTGTGACTGTCTGCCTGTGTGTGTGTGTGTGTGTGTGTGGCTGTCTGCCTCTGTGTGTTTGTGTGTGGCTGTCTGTGTATGTTTGTGTGTGTGTGTGTATGGCTGTTTGCCTGTGTGTATCTGTCTGTTTGTGTGGTTGTCTGCCTGTGTGGCGGTCTGCATGTAAGTATGTGTGTGTAAGTCAGACCGTATGTGTGGCTGTGTGTGTGGCTGTCTTGCTGGAATTGTGTGAGGGTGTTTATCTGCCTGTAACTGTGTATGTGTGTTACTGCCTGTACCTGTGTGTTTCTGCGACTATCTGCCTGCGACTGTGTGCATGTGGTATATTTGACAAGTGTATATGTATAACTGTGCATCTGACTATGGGACTGTGTGCACATAACTCTGCAAAAATATACACCTGCATTCACACATAGGCTTAAATGCATATTTTTATCTGAATTAAATACCCATCACACATAGCCAATAAGCCCAGCACAAATATCACATACAACCAATACACGTATATCACATACAGTTAATACACCAATTACAAATATTACACACAGCCAACACACAGCATACATATCCCCTATACAATCACTTCACTCCTATACACACACTATACATGGATGGCCTAAGGCCAGCCCTGATAGTAGGTGAAGTGTGCATACCCAAAGTGTTCCTTTATGTTACCCATTATGGTTCCTGTGGAAAAAACGTCCTTTACATTTGAGTCCCTAATAGATACACACAAACAGTATCTATAGGGGCGGATACTAGTAGCAGTAAGCTGAACACAAATCTGGGCCTAGAGGTTGAAAGTCAGTCAGTATTTCTTAGGTTGCAAATATCTATAACAACAACTTATAGCTCATATTTACCATCCACATTGGAAACGAGTGCAAAGACCATCAGCCATTGTCCATCCCTACTCAATCTTTGCTTTTCAAAACTTCTCATGTTAAAGGAACACTATAAGGTAAGAAACACAAACGTATTCCTGACCTATAGTGTTAAAAACAACACCTAGCTCCTCCCCCCCCCCCCATCCTCTTTTACTCCTTATTGCTGCTCCTGTCTCTGCCCCTGCTCTGCCTCCTTGGCTGACATAATCAGAAATGGTGATCTGAGCCAATCACAATGCTTTCCCATAAGAAGCACCTCTAGTAGCTTCTAGCACCTCTAGTAGCCATCTGAGGAGTAGCCAGTGGAGGTAGACCTAGGCCGTAATGTAAACACTGCATTTTCTGAGAAAAGACAGTGTTAACTGCAAAAATCAAATACAATAAACTGTAGTTATTCTGGTGACTATATCATCCCTTTAACGTTATGGTAAGAGAAAAGTCTGTCAAAATAAACCTCAAAATTTATTTCAGTTAATTTTTACAACACAGTAAATTTGCTTCAGTAAATATGCCAATTTAATGTATGAAGAGGCCCTGTGTCGATAACAAGGATTTTTACAATTTACAACTAATACACTTTCTGGGACCAAAACCATTTTTAGAATGCTGAGCTACAAATTAATTTTGATTATGGAAGTGAGTAGGTGTAATGTTCTCTACTAAAAATGGCTCGCTTTTCTGTCCTCTTTGGGATCATGCAGCTAAGAATCCTTCACTAAAATTGAACAGCCTGGAGGAAAAGGCTTAAGTAAATCCGTATATATATCCAACATATCATTGTCACTGCATGCAGGAATCTGGAGTGCTGATTGAACTTTACCCAAATCTGAGTGATGCAGTGATTCCAGTGGTGAATATTATACAATTTAATTTTGTTTGTAACCTTTTTTTTTCCGTCAGATTGCAATTGTTGAAGTGTTTTTCAATAATGTGCGAAAGGCAGAAATAAACTATGGAAGTTTAACAGTGAGGCCAAAAGTGGGGAAATTCTCCAAAACTATCAGTTTCCCACTCAGCTATTTTTGCCTTAAATTTGCAATTCTGGTAGTTTCCAATTTTGTGAATAACCCTGGTGATTAGCCTATAACTTGGAAATTGTGGGCACCTGACTAGAGAACACATTTAAGCCCCCAATAGTCGGGATTTTGTCAGGATAGTCCCGATTATGGGGTCCTGTCCCTCAATCCTGATTTGATTCCCTTGTGTCCAGCATTCGGGGACACCAGGAAACTGGCGCAAGCACTGTGGACCCTGCTGAGAGCACTTCCTGTAGTTTGGGGGCAGACAGGCCATCCCTTTTCCCTACATTTGGAGGTATGTATCAGGCCAAAACAAACTGAAAGAGATCTCCCAACTGTTTTCTGCCTTGGCTATTTTAGCCCAAAATAAAAAGTACGTTTGTTTACTGAATTGATTTTGCTTTATGTGATGTGATGCTTTTAACATAAAATATATACATATTTAATGTACATAGATGTGTTGTAATTTACATTACCTATGTCTTCCTATTTTACAATCAAAAAGGAAAAACAACCAGCACTGTAATCAGATCGATACTGATAAAAAGGGGACACAATTGATAAATAAGAGATATTAACAAAGTTAGAAATAAATATAATGAACTGAACAAAAATTCAAGGAGAGAATTTATTGCATCGGAAGATTGGACAGTGTGCGACCCCTGGGAACATCGTTCAAATGTAAGGTCATCCATTTCCACAACCTTTGGAATTCTTATTTCCAATGTTAAAATGGATGGAAAATCACTTAGTTTCCACAACATGAGCTACATGAGCTAGTCTTATGGATGTTCATATATTTAGTTTTACCAAGGGCTTGTGGTCTGTTTCGAGTTCTATGGTGATTCACAAGGGTCCTGCTGAAACTAAAAGATTGAGGTCCCGGAGGAATCTATGTACCAACGGTCAGACAGTATTTTTGACATTTTTATTATTTTTTTTGTAGAAAGGTTGATATACCAAGTTCACCATGTTTAAAATACAATTTGGTTACATAAAGCCATATATAAGCCCATGTTAGAGATATTATGATTTATATCCAGCAGGAACACATCACATGCATTCACACACAGGAGGATCTACTGGGTATTCAACATGAAAATGTCATGGCGGTCACCTGCTAGAACATATGAAATCTATGCAGTCTTAGTCCAGAATAACTAGGCCCCCATCAGTGTAAATTCTTCCTTAAAGTAAATGATGAAATGATCAAAGAAACAGTTGGTTTACAAACAGAGAATCATGCAGATTGATGATCTCTGACATGTTATCAAGCTTGATAATGAGAGGTTCTGTAGACTAGGTGAGTTGAGTTGTATCTGTGTGTTCTATTTATTTCCTGTAAACGTTAAATCATCTTAAAGAGAGTGTGTTATGAAATATGAATGGCAGAATCTGGACATTGTTAACACCATTTAAAGGGACACTCTGGGGACCATAACAACTTAATACCAATAAAGTTGTTATGGGCCTTGGAGGCCTCTGGCACCGTTTTACCTGAAGGGGTTAAACCTTTAACAAATTGTTTAACCCCATAGACAACAAACTGGCACTCGGTCACTCAGCCCCTGCAAAAAGCAAGTGAACCATGATTTGCGGGTGTGCATCCGACCAGGAGCATTTTGTCCTGATTTTCTTTAAAAATGGTGCTTTCCAAATGTCCAGATGCTGTAATTTCTATAGCATTGGGATGTGAAAAGCACTGATTTTAAGACTGACACAGAATGCATCTGGTCAAGTAGGCAGATTTGGATTTGGCTTTAGTAAACATGAGAATTGCCCATCCGATTGGAGTTTAACCATTTTCACCACATTTTCTTCAAAACAAAATATGCTGTTTAATAAACAGATGCAATGGTTAATAAAATGTATCTGTATGAAACCAATGATACAAGATAAAGGAACACTCTAATTATAAAAGTATATTTTTATTAGATTTATTCCTTTATCGGTTTATATTTATGGGATTCCCTTAGGTTTAAAAGAAAAACAAAGAAAAACCAAAAAAGAATTTGATTTGCCATTAAATCCATCTTTATTCTAGTGCTGTGACAGCCTATGGTGCAGCACCTATGATGAAACAATCTATTCTGGTGACTTTTGTCCAATCAGATGTTTCTCATGGAGAAGCACTGCAGATATACTGCGCATGCATGGAAGTCGTCACATTCCACCAATCCATTAGCTGCATGCAGCTCCATCATAATGTGTGTGAACTCCTTCTACAATCTCACTTTTTTCACAGGGATCCCATTAGATTAGAGGAAAGCCACTAAATGTTGATTTTATTCACATATCAATTGAGGGGAAATAGAAGGGGCTGTAAAAAATATATATATAATATATAATCCTCTTTTAATTGCTATTGGTTACTCTTCCTCACTTGATCTGTGAACCAAATGACAGAAAAATTCACCTAACGCTACACTGTAAAATATATATATATGTATAATTTATATCATGTATACATTTTGCGTCCTTTTTTTGTTCTTCTGAATGATTTTGCAGAATATTTTTCATGGACAATATCCGTACGAGCTGAACCATCAAACTAACAAGTGTCAGACATCCCGAACTAAAGTTCCTTTTCAGAAACCATAGTTTGGCCAATCCCAATTTTCCCGCCATGCACGCATCTAGTGGATAATTATAAATAGGAAATTTACAGATAGAATAAAATGGCTAAAGACACTATAAGCTGTGCACTGAAAAATAACAAAATCATGGCTGGAAAATAATAAACCGTCAAAACAACGTGAATCTTGCCTATTTAGATAAATTCACTAAAATTAAGGATTTACGCACTTCCACATAATAAACATTTTATAAATATAGTTCAAGAACTTTATCTTTGAAAGCAGGAAGTTACAGAAACTCTCGTCCCCTCTCATACTTCTTCAAAAGTGACCACACTGCTAACAGGTCTCTACTGACACTAAAATAGGAAACAACCTTTGGTTTAACCTTTTCAGTGCCAAGATTTTGCATTTTTACTCATTGAAAGTGAAACCCTGTCAAGTTACGATGGCAGGCCTGTAATTTAGTAGAAAACCAGTATATCCAAGGTCATATATATAGCTCTCTAGCTTTTCTGAACAAACCAAGCATCCAGTGACGTGTAACAATCTGTCCACCACTAACATAACACTAAGAAAAGTGAAATAATATATATCAATATGCAAAATGCGATAACATTTGAAAAGGTATTTTGTGAAACAGGAGAGAATTGTTGCAGCAGCTGCTTTGCAGATCACCGGCAAGTACCATCTTCAATTAAAATGGCAGATCAGCACATTCAAGTGTCATAAGAATAAGATTTACAGCACATACAAGGAGAGTCAAAGTACACAATGTACAGGAAACACAACACAGAGAACTCTGCAAAATGATTGTAATACTTATTCAACAGCATCAACATTCTAAACAAAACTGCTCTGTGTAAATGGTTGTTTGAAATGCAGTTTGGCTTCTCTCAAAAAAAAAAATGTAAAAAATACATCAATATCCCAGTACACATAAAATAGCTGCATTGTGTCTCCAAACGTTTAAACCATTTGATGCATTAAAGTTTTTTTTAATACTCTGCAAAAATTAATTACAGAAACGATGTTCTAAATCACTGTGTACTTAAGACATTTACAAATATAACATATGTGGGATACTGTATTGAGTTATTGAAGAAGAATGTGAGGAGATGGGTTATCCCCATCAGCACAAAATATTGCACAAGCCTTTGGCATTGAAAGGTTCAAGGAAGTGCTCTTTAGCACCAAGTCGTGTCTTTAATATTTTCATTTTTAGCTGGGAGCAGACAGAGGCTCAACATGTTTAACCCACGTTTGGCAGAGAGGTGTATGTGATACACTGCAGATATGTCCTAGCAGAACTGGACAACATGAACAAGTGTATTCAATGGAACCTTCTCCAATAAAACTGATCAGGATAGCAACTGGTCTAATAAACAAGTACAAGGCACACACATGCATTCCTTACCCTATAAATCAATATTAAATGGACTGGCAATAGGTTGAGCCTGAGAGATAACACAATTTATAGCTCATTGGAAAATATTAGATAGCACAAGGTTGTGGTTTTAAATAGGGATTTTTTTTAAAGACCAAAATCCCACTGTACCTGCGCATAATAAAAACTATAATATCTCTCCATCATTCTGCTACTAATTGCATGCTCTTACCTCGGTCTCAAAGAGCACCGGTCTCTTCTGCAGCTGACAGGTACCTGGATGCAATACTGACAGAGAGACGCTAGGGGGCAGCAAATAGGAGCAAGTTATCTCCTCCCCTCCCTCTCGCCTCCGCACGGTCACTGTCTCTGGAGGCATGACGGGAAATGTAGTACAAATAGTGGTGATCTCGGTGTCGGCGTGGTCTTTATAAACTACAATTCCCGTGAGCGCCGACTGACAAGCCTGTTTTGGGTGCTGTAGTCTTTCCCATGGTAACGACCTGCGCCCCCACATGTCCTTGTAGAGCGACAATGCAGTTTTTCTTCAGTTTAACTCGTTCACGCGTGGGGGGTTGTTATTAGCCAACATAACTCTGTTTTATTAGCTGAATGTGGGAAAGATATGGCTAGCTAATGCAGGTCAGCAGCTGACTTCCTTCTATGTATTTATAGATAGGTATATATGTATATGGATTATATATATCTGTTATTTAATGACTATTATTATATAGGTTATTCCATGGGAATTGTGCTGCTCACAATTAAAGCAACACTCCAAGCACCATAACCACTTCATCCCTCTAGTTTATTGTGCCAGGCATGGTCGCCGCTAGGTTCCAGAACCACCTGGGACTGGAGACCAAAGGAAAACTCAATGACCATTACCGTGACAGAGAGGTAGAGCTATGTCCCCTCCTATTTAGAAATGAGCAGTGTGTTGCTGGTGCGATCAAGGATCTAAATGAAAGCACAGCGAGAAACAAGCACATGCTACACATCTAGGCATTCAATGAGCAAAATAAATAATAAAAAGATATGCTGCAAATTCTGTTCCCTAGCATGTTGAGATGGCACCAAGGAAGGTGCGAAACGCGTCCAGGGCTTTCACTCTCTTTTTTCGGGGTAGTCTTCTGGGTGGTCTCTCCCCTGTCTGGCAATTGCAGGTAGTACGGCAAATTCATATTTTCCGAACATTTTTTTTCTCTCTTTCTTGCTGGGAAATTTGTGTCATCTCAGTGTACTACAATGTTTTGGTGTGCTATGCCT